GGCGCATTCTACATTTCGACGATTTATTTGTTTATTCGTTAATGAGAGACCATCGCGCAGATCCTGTTACGCGATTCGTCGTTACCCTATAAATCCATTATGTAAGAACGAACGTGGGCATGATCGCAGTCCGAATAATCGTTTTCCACCCACTTATGTCATATAAATGTGTGTGTGTGTGTGCACGCGCGCACGTACATTCTTCATGTGCATTGAAACGAACGAGAAACATTCGTTTGGAACAAGTCTGTGGGAAGACTCGGCGAGTGAAAAGTGTTCGAATCTTCGATCAAATGCTCGTTCAAGGTGAAAAGATTCTTTATCAAATAAAAAACTGACGTGAGTCTACTACGAGTAACGAACTGTTCTCTGCGACGACATACATCGTGTGTCGCACACGCCTGACTTATCGAGCGTACGCAGACAAGAACTGCGAGAACGACGATTTCAATTCACGAGCGAGAGAACACGATAAAACGCGACGAAACGTTGAGAGATGCTAGCAGACACGAAAAAGAAATGCACGATGTTCCACAATGATAATACGATCGAGTCCAAGTCGCAAGAATTTGCAGTACCGTGCCATTCTCAGCGCGTTAAGCGATTGGTTCCCATTATTCCAGTAAGAATTCCGACCAGAAATTCGCCGTCGATGACGAGGGTGGTATCGTTTCGTTTTCATTGAAATTGTGCAAGGCCATTGGCGGCCTTTTGTTCTTACGAACGACGACGAATCAATTATGCCGGCAACAACAATACCAGCGCCGTTACGTAAAAGGTAATAATGCGATGTTTCTCGCAGTCACGTACGTCGTACAAAGGGATGCACGCTGCTGGACACTCCGTTCGAGACTCGTTGGCTGCCTCGTTTAATTTACCAATGTGCCTTATAAACGGTGTACGAGACAAATTTCTCGATGAAATCGATACGATTTCCTCCGTTGAATTGTCTCCGATGAATACCAAAGCCACGTCACGTTGCGCTTCGAGATGGCAACGTGTACCGCAATATTCTTGCTATCGTAGCACGTGCTGGCGTAATAATATCGAAATTTTTCTTCGATCGTGCAGTCGCGAAGAGGGATATTTACGTATAATCTATTGAGAGTGATGGTTACGACGGAGGTGGTTACGTCCCTTATTATCCTGCATTAGCAGACGTAAGTACCTACTAACGCGCGTCTTTCATTATGTATCAATTTCTATAGGTGAAAATATATCGGACCGGACGACGATTTGATTTGTAACAACATTAAAAAAGTAAATATAGGGACATGGATAAAATTAATAAACAAGAAAAGTGATTCGAGTATGAAATACAAAATTATAAAGTAAATGTACGTCCAGTAAGAATATACTTCTGAATTTAAATAATTAAATTTAAATAATGAAAGCTGGAGAGAATAACTTAGAGGATATAAAAATTTTCTTCCGTATACGTGCTATCGATCTAACCCGATCGTGGCCACGCATACCAGAGTATGAGACTATCCGAGCGTTGTAATATTTCTCGGCTATCATCTTATCATTCTGGATTCGCGTTGTTATTTACAAAATTATTGATCATCCGGGTGCATCCAGCGCTGGCCGGCGATGCGATCAGCCTGCAGGGGTACAACCACCCCTTGGCATCGATCGCCGCGTCGAGTTCACCGACCTCGCTGCATCGAGACGCGATACAATACTTGCACTGTCCCCATTACTGCCCTCTTTTGTCCTTATCTACTACCTCCGTCATTCCGTTCCACATTCTCGCACCAGCGTCCGTTAAATCGCGGCCAATTTTAACGAATTCGTCCCCATCGGGAGAATATCGATCGTCCGCTACACACGAGGAGGTTCGACGTTCTCTGCTCGTTACGTCATTAATACGATACATGCCCCACGAGCTTAGAAAGAGAACCAGCCTTTCGCATCTTTAAGCAACGATTCTCTATTCTTTTCACTCGATCCGCCGTGTTCCGTGAAAAGATATTTCGTATTTGGCATGGTACGCGATGGACCGTGTGAGAATATGCCGCGAGCAGTTCGGCGATTGATGCAGAAGGTTACGAAAATAACGAAAATGGCGGCCCGCGATTGGTGAATCGCGTCCGGTAGCAGCATCGGGAAACCGCGTCCGCCGCATTCATCCCGACGCCGCGTCCTCGCGGAGATACGGCTCGAAGCCTCACGTGGTGGAGAGGACATGCGCGCACCCTTCGCAAAGCCGCAACGCTATATAAGAGAAGACCGCGAATCTCCGTGTCTCAGTCAGCTTTCGAAAGCGTGCGAAACACACGGTGGCGAACATTTGCCTTGATCAACCCTTGGCGCGTGTTTGCCAAATCGAAGCCAAGTAACGAGCAACGAAACCACGTTCCATCTTCGACGAGGATGAGCAACAACTGAGAAGGAAGTGCGAAAGAGAGCCGATAGAAATCGAGAATCGACTCGGGGAAAGGCTGGCGAGAGGGAAGCAAGAACAGTCAACGAGTCAATCGACAACGAACGCAAGTGTGACAAGTGTGTGGGATTGATTATATAATCGCGTACGTTTTTTTCGATCGTTCAATTCAACGCCGTAGAGCATGATCGAGCGTAACTCGTGCGAACATTGAACGAACACGTACCTTTCGAACGGGAACGAAATTGTTTTGGAACAATCTGGCCGGTCGAACGGTGCAGATCTTTGTCCGCGATCTCGATCGAATCGGTGGCCTTCGTCCATCGTTGGGAATGGAGGACACGACGAGACTGACCGACCCGGAGGACGATCATCGCCGAGAGAGTCAGAAGGGCGACGCGAAACGACGAGTCAGCCCGACCGGCGGCCCTGGATCCTCGAAGCACG